ATGATCGGATCAAAAGGCATAATTTAAGGTAAGTCCTTACACCAGCATTGGGGGGGGGGGGGGGGGGGGGGGGATACATTTATAGGCAAGTATGCACATTTATAAATACTCAAATTGTCGCAAAAGCCCAACTGGGACGGATTCTAGAAGCATTAGAATACACAGTGACGTGTAGGCTGGATCCTAACACCAAATAAATTTTTTTACTTATTACATATTCTGTGTCATCTCATGTCAACGATTGCCTTATGTCAAGGAACATTCCACTCAAAACATAATATTGTACAAAATGGCTCTTATTTTCATTCCAGCATCCATCTTATGAAGTAGGCTACTTTTAGAGTAACATCCCTGTAGTTAACATTCTCGTAGTCTAAATCAAGGCTTAAAATTTCAAGTCTAGACCTACTAGCCAGGCAAAAACCTTACTCTCCACCAGTTGTCCCACCAAACCCTGCACACTCCCTTAAAAGAACTCCAACTTAAGCAGCAGGCCGCACAGAATGACGTGACAAGAAGATCTGATAATTGCTTCCGCATCAGATTAGGGTACAGGGAGACAGGTATTCATGACAAACACAACCTTATCTAAGGAAACGCTATGCTGCTCAAACATGTGCATTTGAATACAACACACAGTGTTTCACCTGCTTTGCCTGCAATCCAAATGCATCCCAATAGGACCTGCTGGGTCTGAAGGATGACAACATAAAGCAGATCAAACGCAGCCTCTGAACTCTCATCTATACAGCTCCAATGAAGTCAATCAGAATTTGCTGACGTGCACATAAAATATTACACATGCACACAAGGCTGAAGTTCTAGTACAAGAGGAGTAGTCAATGTATTAATGGAAGCAACAACTTTAACATAATAACCTGCTCACAGGTCCTCTTGGGTGTTGCACTGCGCATACGTCATCTGACTAATCAAACCAAGATGTATATAGCACTTTATTGTATATGGTTTAAAAAACAAAACAAAAAAAAAAAAACAAAAAAAAAACGTACCTAGGGGATTTTATCAGCTCATTGGTTTCATTCATGCCTGGATTCTGACAAAGCAAATATTGTCTTTCATGTTCAGAACGACCGTCCTAAAAAACAAAAAAATAAGATCACAAACTGAACTCAGAATTATAATACACTGTAGAAGATCCAGATACCTATGTAAGAAACATCTACTATGCATGTCTGACTCAAGTGTCACTACTGGAAACTGAGTAATGTGCAAGCTTAAAGTATATTTCAAGCACACGTTTTATTTTGGATAATGTAGGGGAGGGTTTATACCGCTTTTTTTTTTGGGGCCAACTGTCTCATGAGGGAGGCTTCCATTCACTTTCTAACCTGTAAACTCAACAGAAGTGAGAGGATATCTTTCAAATTTGACACATGCCACAGAAACTGGTATCCATTGGACGATGTATTCCTCTATTCCTGTTCTATGAGCAACTCAAAATTACAGATTTATCCTCACTTTCTTTCCCTGTGAGTTTGAAGATGATGACAATTGGAGAGTGAATCTCCCTTACTGGGGGACACACAGCAATAAAGACCAAACGGAGGTTCAATCCTCTCACCAACTTAAAAAAGGTTGTGCCTGTAGTTATACTTTCAAGTCAAATACCAGACACATACCAAATACAGCACCAAACCTCCCTCCTCTGATGAAAAGCATAGCCCAACAGCAACTTGTAAAGCTCGCCATTCACAACCCAAAGTTTGGGTGATTTATTGATACATATTTATATAGCTCTATATTTCTCCAACTACATCTAAATGGCTAGCTTACCTTTCCTTTTTTGTGTGAGCGTTTGTTTATGGAGGTCGGCTGGGCACATTTTAAGCTAGCTTTTAGGAGTACAGAAGGTGCTGTGTGAAGTGAAAGAGGAGCAAATAAATCTGTCATCACCGGAGAACACTTGCAAGCAATATCCCACGTCCGTGTTGCACTTTGTGCACAGAAAAGTAACCCCCTTTCACATTGGGGTTAACACTTGACACTGTAGAGCATAACTGTCAGTGCTAATCTTGGTGTTTATGGCTTATAAAGTCCTATAGATTGGGGAAACAAAGGCATTTTTCAGATGCTACTATAGCTGGCCATACATGCTTTGAAACCTTCGGGCTGAACTAGAGAAATCCAGCAATTCCCCGATCCACACTTAACAGTGTGGATAGAGGAATCCCCACTGCTAGCTATTGAATTCCGCAGGTACTGTTTGGCTGAGAATTTTCGGACCAGCTCCCTCTACAAAAGTTTCCATTATTTCAGAATCACTGATAGCAGCACCATCTGACTGCTAGAGGGTATGGAAGGGATTGGTCATCTAAAAAGGCAGATTAGACATAAGAAAAGCTAATTGCTGTATTCATGAACTTTCATATGCCCAGAGTTCAACTTTGACACTGAAAAGAGACTATTTTGGCAGAAAATGGAGATTGTTACAACAACCACATATGACCCATGTATCCCTTTCCAGGAACAAGCTATATAGACTAGATCAGTAACTCAAATGAGGATCATCTGAACTGACTTAGGCAAACTAGAGCAAATAAAATATGTCGTAACAGACTGTACATGGGCTGGCATTGTCAACTTTCTTCTGAAAACACAGTTTTCCTGGGTACTAGGCTGACCCACTTAATTAAGCCAGACTAATTTTTTTATCAATAGTTAATTAAGCCAGACCAATTTTCTATTAATATTTCCCACACGTTACAATTCACATTTTTGTCTTCAAATTACACCCAGAACAATATTTTCTAAAAACAAAGGACCTGTCAAATAAAAAGTTGCTAAACATTTATAATATGACCTAAAAGAGTGCAAGTCTCTATTTCCATTAAAAGAATACATAAAATTTTAGGGAACAGAAAGAGCGGCATTTCTGCAATCCATAGAAGTGGTCAATCCACAAACAATCCATTCAATGCATATGCAGCCAGGTAGGCCCCTGTGCTACACAATTACTGGTAGATGTAAAAGAATATGTAAAATGATATTGTAATGTGTGCGGCCAGCTTTATTCGGGCTGTAGAGCAGTGGTGGCGAACCAATTTGGCACGCGTGCCAGGGAGTGCACGCAAGCCCAGGTTCAGTGACCACCTCTGAAAATAGATCCGACCATCCCGGATCTCCTCGGTATGCGATCCGGCCCGCTCACAATCAGGCGACAGCCTCTAAACAGGCATATTAGACTAATGTGCCTGTTTAGAGGCCGCCGCTGCCTGTGACCTGCCCAGGTCGCATACCGAGGCGTTCCAAGACGGTTGAATCTACTGAAGCAGCAGCTGCCCTCAAAAGGGGAGGGCCACACAGTACCTTAGTAGCACACTGCAATGGAACACTTCACTCATCAGCACTGTACAAAAGGGTACATGTCACTCTGTAGTGTAGTTAAAACCTATTGTATTGTATTTTTCTTCTAAGATTTAAGCACAATTAGTTCAAACAGTCGAATGAAGTGGTTTTTCCAAAATAAATAATCAGTATTCAGATCTAAGAGCGGGGTTGGCACTTTGAGACACTTAAGTTGGTTTAGTGATCCAGTCTGGGCAGTCAAGTTCAAAAAGGTTTGCCATCACTGCCGTAGAACATAACTACTGTATTACTTCCAAAAGGTCTCATAGCAATGAAATTTGCCTCATTGGTAGGCTTGATGGAGCGTGCAAAAAGCACCCAGTGACAGATCACTACACATTTACTGTACATCTTGACCTACCTTGACCCCAGAGTAATGCAGATGCACCCAGGATTCCTCAGCCTGTTTTTTCTGCAAAAACTCGTAGGACTGTGCCCTCCTCTGTTTGGCCTGCTCCGACTCTGGACGTGAAAAACGCACCTAAAACAAGCATAGGAATATATTACATTTCTTTTTTTTTTTTTTTTACTTAAATAAGACCCATCTTGCACAACTAGCATTTAATGGTCAGTGGACCAAAAAGTGATATTTTAGTTATAGAAGGAGCTTGGTGGAGCAGAGTCAGCCCCCTGCTTCTTATATGTCAAATACTTTAAAGCGGAAGGAAAAAGAAAAAAAAAAAACATGCAGTGTACACACTTAGATATGCCATGAATGAGCCAAGTAACAAAGGATGTCACTGTGTGCACGTGTAGAATTAATGGCTACCTAATGGCCGAAAAGGACTTCCAGGAGCCCAGAAGTGTCGGTGGCAGGGGACAGAGCCGGAGAACGGCACACTTGTATGCCAAGTGTGCCCTAATGCACAAATATGCTGTGCATATCTGCACATTAGGGCAAAAACAGAACATTTAAAAAGTGGTTTACTTGCGCTTTAAGGGCCCACATTGATAGCGACACAGGGTCAAAGCTATCAGATTAAGATGCTTCAGAGATCATTCAGAATTTGATGGTTGCATTTGACCTCCTCCTGATTCAACTGAATAGCCATACAGCTCTGGGAATCTTTTTTGCACATGGCCCATAATATTGAGG